ACCGGTTGCCCTTCCGTAGGCGCAAACGTGCCACCTCCTCGCATATCTTGTGCTCCTGATACCAAAATGCAATTAGGGCTCAACTGGATACAACTAATCACTATAAAAATTTTCCATAAAGGTATTGAATTAAAAAAATACATATGAATATTTTCCTCAGCATCATCTTTATATGTAAATGTTGGGAGGTAATGGAAAAGTACAAACACGATTTAACATTATTTCTTTTGTATTGAAAACAATGAATTTCTTACAAAAAAACATGGCATTTAGCTTAAATCAACAGATGCAGTTTAAAAACATATCGTCATGAAGAAATGAATAAGATTACATGTGTTTTAAATGTTTGACAGTGACAAAAGCCTTATATTAATTTTACGAATTAATTATTAATAAACAGCAGCTATTCAATCGATATTGAATTATCACAATGAAGTACATTCAATTAATATTAATGCAGGCGACTTTGAGTTTGAGATTTGGAGGAATTTATTGAGGCCTGCACTCTTCTCGATCGGCATTCTGCGGCCAATCGCATCCGTTGTTGATCGTGTTCCAAATCAAAGAGTTGGGGCACGTGAACTTTATCGGCGATCCGTGGACGCATTCATAGTACTATAAAATAAAAGAACATTATTGCTTACATCACAGCTGTTCCATATTTGGTGGAAAATATTCATGAGAAATTGCACAGGGTTCCTAGCAATTGAGGTGGAATTCTGAAGATTCTACCTGTTTCTTTCAAGGCTCTTTTCCAGCGACTGTTCAAGCTAAAGAAAGTATTTAAGTTTTCCTGTATTTCAGGTTTTACGTATTTATATTCTCCAATTTCTTTTCGCTAGAAAAATCACATCCTCTTTTTTGTTCTATCGCTATTGCTGGGGCACCCTGCACAATTCTCAGAGCTTACTGAATGGCAGTCCTTGGAAGAGGGGACAAATTTATCAGCAGATTCGCAGACAACTCTCTCATCCTCGCTGTCTTCGATTGGAGACTGAGTTGGTTGCCATTTGTTCGAATCCTCAGTGGTGAAGCTTTCAGTTGTTTGTGTTGTTTGGGGTTTCTGAGTAGGTTTCTCGGGTTTCTGGGTTGGTTTCTTCGTAGGCTTCGTCGATGGCGGTTTGACGGGTCGAACACTGTCCGATGATGACGTTGTGCTTGGAGGCCTCGCCCATTCAGGCTAAAAAGTAGTAAAAAGAAAAACGGTAATAGTGAAATTAATATTTTGTCAAGTGTTTGGCAGAAAAAATAAAACACAGCATTCGAACTTGAGACACTGGATGGCTTGCAAATTTTTTATAATTGCATACAAATTCTGTCTAGTTATTAGGTGTGTTCTTCGAGCAAACGTTTTCTTAATACTGCAGGATTTAATTAGATTGTCGGCATGGATATGAACTAAAATAACGTCTTTATTGTTAGGATTTGACACTCTGACTTTCGCTGATCTTTACGCTTTGCTCTCTAATTTAAAATTAAACTCTTGCATTCATCGAACTCGTTTTCACAATACTATGATTCATTACCGTGGGCGTTGTGGTGACATCTTTGTCCGTTACGACGTATCCTTTCAAGCCTTTGTTAATGGTGTTCATTAAGGGGTTACGTTCACCGCAGAGTCCTTGGAAATCGTCCATGTCGATGGCCCAAACCATGGCTCCACCGTATCGTTCCTTCCTGATGAAGTCGATTTTATATTTCACACTTTCTACATCTTCGTAACCGACCCATTGTGTCTCTACAATTGTCAATGTATCGATTAAGGAACAGGTATGTTAACTTTATGTTGCGAAGAATCGTGCAATGCACTTTCAGAGATTTGTACAAACCTTTGTATGTGTATGGAACTTTGCCAATGTCGTCGAATTTCTTAGTCCAATTGCTGCCTGGCGCTTGCAACCTGGTACAGATCTATGACAGAACGTTTTTCTTTATGGAAGAAGACCTATACCCTTATAATAAAAGGTATTATTTTATGAATAATTCCAAAAAGATTAACTCTTTGCGGTCGAGAGGGGACTCTCACAATCAGTCACATCTTCACGTGATGCAGTAACTCGAGAGGTGACTCTCAGTCACTACTAGGTTTGACGTAGGAAATTAACCAGCAATAATGTTTGTTTAAATTTAATTTCATTGAAAAATGAAATGTCAATAAAATGATTGTCGAAGGGGTAAGGGTGACCTGATATTCATATTTCAAATTAGAGATCTCATCTTCGAAGTCAATCTAAGCATTCGTGGCGATAGAATGCTAAGAAAGCATCTCGAGTTGCTGGCAGATACCAGTAAAAAAAGCCTCGAGTGCAAGGAGTTAACCCATTCATTGCCAAGTAGGTACCAGATATTTTGTAGGTTGGCCTACAAGTTTCGATTGATTGCAATTTGTCCAAGAATAACTTCATAGCCTATTGAGTTATGAATTATTAGAAAAGGAGAACGAAAATTTTATATAATAATGTTTTTTCTTTTAAAGAATATGCAATATCACTTCTTATTATCAAAATAATAATTCAGATTATAGATCTACATATATTGAATTTTGGTGTCCAGGGCAATACGCTTTGCCTGGCAGTGAATGGATTAACATTGACATCTTGGGGAAAGGATCAATAATCCGGATATTAGTGTAGTTTCTTTTATACATTTTTTATAGGCTTAAGTGTAGAGTCTATCATCGACCATACCTCGTAGTAAGCCAGAAATCCTTTGGCTTGCGTGTATTCCCCAGGTTCACCGCCACCAGCTTCCTTGTTGATGTATGTACCAGGCTCGTAATTGCGGTTACCTTGACTGAGACTGAACGTACGACCGTATAACGGAATTCCGACGATCAGTTTCTTAGCTGGACAACCTTTCTCCTCCCAGAGCTGAAGACCGTCGTGCTGTAAGAACGAACGTCATTTGTTGTAGTTATATGGTTGCTTTTTCAACAAAAATTAAATGAAAATAGTTTTATTGTGCTGTATTATGTTGTGCTATGTTGCGTAGTGCTATCTTATGTTGTGTTTTACTCCATGTTGGATATTTTTGTGTCAGAAAAGAAATGAAAATAGCTGTATTGTGCAGTATTAAAAATACATAAAAATACATAATTGAATTGTTTTTAAATTCTTACGACGTTCAACTTCTCGTACGCCCATTGATCGTGTGGTCTACGGTACAAAGGGCTGTGCACATCCGCGAATCCAGCCCAGTTACCTCGAAGGTCGTAAGACATCACGTGAATAACGTCCATGTTTCTGCAAACAAAGTTTCAGAGATTGAAACGACAAAAAGAAACAACAATGCAACGAAGATACTTCGAAATTCCATAAAATCAGTGTAACATTAATGTGTCTGATTAAGATGGGAGGTCTAACGGGGGTTGAAGGGTTGAATTCGCATACTTGCACAATTCTGGCACGTGATAGCCCTCGTCCAGGCGGAATTTGGCCATTGGCACCGCCATTGTGAGCTCCCATCCCTTGCCTTCGGCGTCGAAAGCGCGTCTCAGCTCTTCAACGAAATAGAAAAAGTGGTTTTTGTCGGAGAAGCTCCCGCCCCTGTCAGCGGCACCGGGGTATTCCCAGTCGAGGTCGAAACCGTCGAAACCGTATTTGTGCATGAACTCTATAACCGCAGATAAAAGAAAATAGTGTTGGCTTATTTAATTGAAGAACTCCACAAGCTTAGTGATGCGCACGAGACGAGATAAATCTCGATCTCGATCTCGTCTCGATTTCGAGATGCGATTCGAGATCGAGATTATTTGTAACATTCGAGATCGATATCGAGATTTAGCATGCCGAGATTTGGGCAAGATCAAGATTATTTAAAAATCTCGTCGAGATCTCGACAAAATGTTTTATTATATTGCCGATCGCCAACACATATGACCCCGTGACTGTTGCGCTAACAAACGATGCCACATACAATTTTGTTAATATTATAAGCCGCTTCTGCTTTGAGGGCAAGTTCCGAACGGCACACAGTGTGATATTTCAACGATTTAGCGGGACAAAACTTATGTGGTTCAATATTTCGGAACCATTAGGTCGTCCACACACGAAGCTACTCAAAAAAAATGTAATTGATTAGTGATTGAAATCACAAACCAGTTACTTATTGGTTAGTAATGATTTTGAACATTTTTAGAAAAAGTATCTACCGCTCTCCATGCGGTGTAATATTACAGCAAAGTCATATTCACGGTCACTGCTTAAACAAATATTGTTAATAATTAATATAACTATTGTCAGCTAACAGATATAACGATATCGATATTATTTCAGCTAACAGATATAACGATATCGAAAAGTTTCTCACAATTACTGTGTTCGATGGAATTTAATCTGAACCGTGATTCTTATTAATATTTATTTGAAGACTGAATGTTACTACTATATGCATTGTAAATATTCAATTAATTCGGAGATGTACATATTGTGAAATATGCTGTATATGATACATACAATATCATTCAGTGTTCGATAAAACATTAATAACAATTACGGTTCAGAATAAGTATTCATTCGAGACATTAATCGTGAGAAATTTATCAATATTCTAATATCTATTGATTAGACCAACTAAATATTAATTTCTGACAATAGTTAAATTAACGATTAACAATACTTATTATTTAAAGAATGATGGGAAATACGATTTTACTGTGACATAAATGTTTCACGAATTATTGTCTTTATGGATTCAATGAGCCTTCGATGCGACCGTCACGCGGTTGTTGTTCGCCCTTCTCCTTCTCTACTTCGACAGGCACAAGCGTGTCGCTACCCTCGACGCAGGTATACGAAGGGCGCGATCTCATTCTTCGACGATCCTTCGGTCGGTATGGATCTCGCGATCGCGCGTCCGCGTCTCGCGTCCCTCCTATTTTTGCGCAGTGTAGTTTCCCTTAGTTATCGTAGTTTGGTATTGCTTGTGGGTATTTTAGTTTAGTTTGTTTAGTTTTAAGGCAGGTATCTTAGTTTTAAGGCTTGTATCTAAGTTAGTTTTAAGGCATAGATGTACGAGTGTCTACTCTGCCAAATAATTATTAATCAACTTGTTTTGTTTGTTCGTAGGTCCATATTAGACTCGCAATTTCGTGCTTTACTTCGGTCACTACTGCTTGATGCTATAAGCAGAGTGATCAACCATGTGACTGGCTGAGATCGGTTGCCGTCCTCTAGTGTGTCTGATTTGAGAGAGGGTCAATCGACGCCTCCCAGGAATCTTCTAGTCTCTGTACGCGTCAGGCGAAGTCCAGGCTCCCGGCGCAGCGCAGCTCAAAAGAGCTGTCAGACGGATGCAAGTCGTGTCCTGGACTCCTGACGTTGTGCAGAGGGTAGAACTCCGTGTCGGACTCAACGACCGCCAGACATACCTGGTGTCGTCAGGGCAGGGCAATCCGACGCGGTGCTATCTACGTCGCCTCCACTGTAAGGTCGGATCTGGGCCCTCGGCAGCAGGTATGCAGGGAGTAGAGTACTGGCGGAGACGTTGATCGTCCTTCTCTCGAATCAGACTCACCAGAGGAAGCGGGACTGACTCTGTAAGTCCAGGTACATGGTCGCATCGTGTCGCGATTTCCATTTAGCTTCCATTTAGTTGAAATATTTATTTGGCAGAGTCAGACCTAGACTTCGGAAATCGAAGGAAATTTTGTTTTCCTTCGATTTCCACGGTTTCGTACTTAGTATTAAGCTCGTCAACTCTGTATAGAGTATGCATCTACGTATGTATACTCTATACAGAGGGAGATCGAAGGAAGTTTGATTCCTTCTATCTCCGGGTCTCCAGTCGCAGCAACCTCCACGTGGTGAGACCTGGTAATCGGTATTATTCGTGACGAACAATCCTTCGTCGCGAGTAATACCAAGAACTAATGGCTGCGAACTTGTAATAAGATCTTTAGATATAAAATGTGCAAAGTGTAATGTGCGATCGTGTAAAGTGGAAAAGTGGAAAGTGTAAAGTTTAAAGTGTAAAGTGTAAGGTGAGATTAGATTTAGATTAGAAGGAATATAATTAGTTTTCAGAAAAATTCATTTGTATAAATTTAGTGTATTAACCCTAATATATTCTTATTGCAAACTGGTAGTCAATTTTCACAACAAGTTGTGTATTTAAACTACAGATCAAACTACGACACACGGATTTTTCGAAATTTCGATTTTTTTTTGCATTATAAAATTATGCTATTTGTAATATACTTACATTTTGTGCGATATGAAATCATTAAACCCGTATAATCTAAGAACTGGAAAACTTATACCGTTCCTAATAACACAAAGTGTGTATTATTAGTGTTGATATTCAGTTCTTTGTAATATATTCCGAGAATGTTTGCACATTTTGAACTGTATTGCCAATCTTGTCAAAATCTCAAGATCAAGTCAAGATCTCGTTGAGATCTCGTCGAGATCGAGATCATATTTCGAAATTGTCGGAAATTTGATATCGATATGCATGTTTCGAGATTTATCGAGATCAAGAAGTGTAGAATGATACTCCATCAAGATTTTTTTATCTTCATTAAAAAAAAAAAACAAAATTACAAACATTACAAACATTAATATATAAGAAATTATCTTCGTAAAGGTGTAAAGACACACAAAATGTTAAAATATAAAAGTGTTATACATTAGATTGTATGTATAATTATTTTAAGTTAGAGGTAAGAAATTCACCAAAAATGCTGCAAAACGTCTCGAGTTGCTGGTTCGTCCGCGCGAAAAGGACCTCGAGTACAAAGGGCTAATACCTAGATTTAAGGTAGAAATTCTAGATTATCTCACCGACTACGCTCCTGATGAACGTGTCGCGCCTCTGCTTGACGCCAACGAGGGCACTGTACTTCCGCCCGCCCTCTCCCCAACCGCCCACTGCGACGGAGGTCTTCAAGTGAGGATACTTGGATCTGAGGTCGTTGAAGGCTACGAAATTTTCCTTGTCAACGTCCAGCTCTGGGTCGAGGATGAGGACCTCCCAGGTGACGTTGCTCACGCCAATGAAGGAGTAAATGATGTGGGTGCAGAGATCACCTGGGATATCCTTCACGGCGTAGCGTCCGACATCCGGCCGATAAATGGCCCAGTTGCTGAAGTAGCACGCTATTCTGGCAGGTTGGTCCGCTGGAACATGGAAAATTATATAATTGGTGTCCCATTGGAAACTAGCTTAGCGAACTGTAATCAGTCTATCCATTTAGCGTGCTACACTTAGTCTATTTATTTGAAGAAACAATTACCACCTTACAATGTTGATATAGCTTCTCATTATCTAAGATAGCGAAAGTATTCAAATTTTAACTGGGACAACTTATATTTATTATCGACAACTTGAGGAAAATGTTTGAGGAAAACGTTCGTGGTAACGAACTATTGCCTTATCTTATCACTCACCTGTCGCGCAGGCAAGAATCGTCAGAAGCAGAGGAAACACGAGATTTTTTCCAAACGTCATTTTCGGAGCTGCAAACCAGTAGATATTATTGATTGCATCATAGCTAGTTATTTCAATAAATTATTGTAATAGCCCGCAATTTTAAAAAGGAAAGTTGTAAACCTTCTTTAATGGAGCGTCACTTATATTTCACACTGTCCGCGACAAAGAGAAACCCCGAAACAAAAACTTAGAGTTCACGCTGGAAGAAAGCGAGATCTCGACGTGTCGATCGATGCACGCAACGCCAGCGTCTGATCGAATCGCGTATCGAACGCGTCTGTCTATTGCACGGTGTTTACGCATCAGTACTTGTCGAAGATCAACGATCTGGGCGGTTTGATTGGGAGCTATCCAGGTGGTGGTTATAGCGATCGCTTCATCGACGTCGTTCTTCAAACGGGGGAACGATTTACTATGCGACCGGTTTCCAGCGATGTAAACAGGCTACGGCATTATTTGAATCTAATGTTGGAAATAATAACGTGTCGAGGTAGGAGGCGAATAGTCTACCGCGCATCTACCTTGCGCACCACGCGGCGCTTGTTTCATAGTTGGCGCAGCTAATGCGATGTAAGCGAATCTAGAAATTCTCTTTTATACCAAAAGGGTGCAAAAAAAGTCCTATTTGAGAGACGAATATTAAATTTTGAATTTCTTATGACAGAAATGTATTGTAGTTCACTTTTTTTAAATACATATTGTCTCACTTTAAGCGGCAATCGTTGCTTAAGATATGACAATGCGCAATAAATGCAACAAACAGCTGTCAGGCAAACAGTTGTTATTAGACTTCGAATATTTACGGCTTTATGGCAAATGGAAAAATGAACTGTATGAGAATGCGCACAAACGCAAGAATATATAAAGTATCAAATTCCAGTCCTCTTTCTATATCTGTGAAAATCTGAATTTGCACAAACAACCGCAGTTTAGTAGTTAGAATTGTATGTGCCAGAATTCTTTCTTAGATTCCTTGAGTTTTCTTTTACACCATGGACTTGAACAGGTTAAGAACCACTGCGGTGAGGGGTGAACCGATTTTACGATCCCTGTCGCGTCGACTGTTATCGACGAGAAACGTATAAAAAAAATATTCCGGCTTTATCGGGCGAGTCATTCCACGTGCGAACGTCGAGTAACATCGTTTTCGGCATTGGCCCTCGCGTCGAAGAGGTTCTTGAACTTTTAATACTCCGTCCTGTTTGTTTCCTTCGCTGAACACGTACTCGTTCGTGCAGTTATCCAAGTGTGCGATTACGAAAAATTAGATTACAGCAAAGGAAAGCACGAGCTATCTAACGTAGCTAGAAATACTTGTCATGTCTGATAGTATGCAAGTTGGAAATCATTTTATTAATAAACATACAGTATTCAACTTGCTAGAAATGAAAATCAAGCCTGCTAACAAGTCGTTAATAATCGTATTAATAAAATACATTGAGAGCGTCGGTGACAAGGTCAATATCAATTAGTATTAATAAGATTTATGGGTATGTTTAAGGTGTTCATGGATAAATGGATCAACCTGTACAATATTTAAATGCAATCACTCGAGCCTAAACACTTCCTTTCCACCCGTTGCTCTTGAAAATTGCATTATTTCCGCGAAAAACACTTGGCGCTAAAGAAAAAAAGCGACGGAACGTGCGAAGTCGTCGTCGTTTTTTCGACTCTCACCAATAAGCGAGCCTTTTTTCTAGTTTGATGACGAGGCGTTAAGTATTACGAACAAAGTTTGTTTTCCTAAAAACCTGGAAAATTAATTCTGAAGGTGGGACCAAATAGAAAGTGATTGGTACCATCTCCATTAATTTTCAATACATTTTTCATTCGATTCAGTATTGAGTTAATTAACTTCTTTTAGATATTATGCTCAATATCTTCTCGCAAGGCTCAGATAACCTAGAGTATAATACTCCATTCGATATATGTGAAGTTTTTGTAGTAGCTTATATTCTATTTATTTTTCCTGATAATTCCTTTTCTCTCGTCGCCGTAAAAATATAATAATCCATTTCATTTACATTTAATATTACCTAGCCTATAGATGTTCAATATTGGACCATTAGTTTATCGGAGATAATTCATGTAAACCTAAATGATTTCATAAACAACTTTAAAAAAAAATACTCCTCCTATGAATAATTTATATTTTGTTTCCTCCAAAAATATTCAAATTAACTTAACTGTTCATAACTTGCTACCAAACCTTTATTTTTCTGAAAGAAGAAAATATTGCCAACAACTTCCTTCATCTTCAACCTAGACGGAAGGTGTGAGCTATTATCCCACTAACTCCTCGACATTTGTATTCAGAGTGCATCCAGCGAAATAGAAGCCGAAGGATCCGATGCAACCGGGATTTTAATTTTCGCGACGAAAAAGTCTCGGTTTCCTCCTTTATTTTCGCAAACGGAGACCATTATCTGGCTCCTTCACTTTACGCGAAACTCAAGGACGGTCTTTGATCCTCTTTCAGGGTTCTTTGTCCTCCTCTTTGTCTTCTAGGCACCGATTCAATTGTCATTCCGTTACTGTGTGCTTGGACGAGGCGGGAGACAACCAACGGGAAACGATTCGTCGCGTTAACACGTTGACCGCCAGGCTCGTACTTGTAAAAATGTCTACTGATCAAAAATTTTGCTTGAAAACAATTGAAAATCTTTTGGAATGCACTCAAACCGTTTTTTACAGTATAGATACATTCCTCAGGTATCTAAGTAAAAAAACAATGTGTAAAAAAGAGTTGGGTGTGTTCGGTTGGTGCATATGAAATCTCGTTTTCCAGTGTTCGAACTAACCAGAAGAAAGCTGTCGTTAATTGTTGTAATCGTACAAATTATTCGGGTCAATTTACGAACAGAAACTGAATGTTGTCTTTTTGCATTAAAGTTTCAAGTCTTGATTTGCAATTTTCAATCAGCATACTAAGACGGAAGTCGAACAGAAGAGGTGAGACGTTCTTCGAGGTTCTTCCTCCTCGATGAGCACGTTTATTCGCGAGATCGGTGCCTACATAGTTAATCTTCTATTCTCGTTGCACCTTCTCGGATTCGATTAGCTCAGGGGCATGAAGGATCGAGCGATGATAGCCTTCCGTTTAATCTAACGTGACCGACATTCCGGAGTGATAGCGGATTAAGTCGACTCAACCTGTGGCTTCTGGTCTACCGCGAATTTCAATCGCTGCTTCGAAAAATGGAATAGATTACAAAGGAGAATTTTTAATATATGTTTAATATATTGATTAATGTCATTACGTTCAAATAATTAATATTTAATATTTACATATAATATAATATTGTATTATAAATATAATTACATTGTATCATAATATAAACATAATATTATATTATATTTTGTATTTATATTATGTTTATATTTTAAACTAATTGCCAAGCAGGAATCCCGTATTTGGTTTCTTTTGTTTCCCCTACACCATTCTGGAAATCTGATTCCAAACTATTTTCGCTCAGAGCATTATACAAACAGTAAATACAAAAAAAGGAACAAACACTCGCGCGTGCAAATATGAATGAAATATTCATAATACAACGAGTAGATGGACAATGGTAGCAGTTGGGGCTTGGATTATCATAAAAATGATTACACAGAAAATCCTCTGACTAACTCGAACCCCATCTCGACTGGCCTTCGAGTCGGAGAAGAAAGAAAAAAATGAAAAGAAAAACGGAAACCAAAGGGAAGCCACGCCTCAAGTCTCGAAAGTAAAGAAACTAAATAAAACGATGTATCTGTCGTTTAGTGAGAACTGACTTTCTGAGATCGTATTGTACAACATTTCCAAGTTCTAATTTTCTTTATCTTTACCTAGAAACAAGCTTCAGCTCGATCCAGATTCTAGAATCACTCTGTAAACAATAGATCTGCTCACGTTGTTTACCCTTTCTTTTTTACGATTCTGTGTTCGCTTCCGGCCTACAAAGAAGGACTGGTCACTTCTTTTAGTTTTCTTCTTTTTATGACACGTCCATTCAGTATTTTTAAAATGCTTTGTTTGTAAGAAACGGTAGTGGACTCTCAAATATTTTCAGGACATGGTCTGAATTTTTGCCAGAACACAGTAGCTAGTTTAATTTGGTCGAAGAAGCAGTTGTTTTTCTAGAAATGTCTTCAAGCTACGACAGGAATTTTTTAATGCAAAAGTATACATGTCGAATTGAGTGACCTCCTCCCTTTCGAAGTCGGTTAAAAAGTGGCCCCAAGGTTTCCACGCAAGTCATGGAATTTTTTGGAAACAGAATCGAAGCAGTTGCTAACTCGGACTTGAATTCATTTTCTTTACTAATTCTGTTTATTGTTAGAATCTTTTTTTAGACAACAGTTTTTACTGATATTGATAATAACTCATTAATAGACTGACTCGACTGTTTCCATGTTCACCGATATTGATCTTAAATGTAACTAAATTGTAATTAGTTAATTACAATTGATCAGTTAAATCGATAAGCGAATTCCTAGTTTTTGGATTCTCGAATTTGTTTCATAATAAGCTTTTGTGGTATCGTTATGCTGATAATGAACCTTTGATCTGCGCGATTATTTAGGCACTTAAAACTATTAGAATGAGGCTTGGGTTCGTAAGATATTCATTTTTCAAAATTGGCTACCTAATTGTTGCTTTTTAAACTCGTTTCGAAACACACTAGAGAACTGGTAGCATACTTTAACTCAGAAACTACTATTCAGAAAATAATATCTCTACAAAGTTACGAGTCGAGAAATGTTAACTATAATAAACGTATAAAATTACGAATCCTTAAACGATGATTTTAATTATGGAAATTCAGCATTTCTTGTAGGGTCTTGCAAACTATGTTGTCCGTATTATAAAAATATTCAAAATTAAGGATAAGACACCTGGTTAAGTCGCTATATAGATTTTCATAAATAGAATATTCCAATACTTATTCTTAAGAAATAGACAGTCGGAGGAAAAAGGAACACTTTGCTCGATGAAAACGTATAAATTGATCCACAAAAACCCCCCTTCACATGCCCACGCACAGACACATTTAGAATTAGCGGAGCTGAATAATATTCCGGAAAAGTAAAGAGTGAAGGACTCACCTTCGCGGCGACCGGGTACCACAGAAAAATCGTGGCTTCGGCCGATGTTAAGCTCTCATATATACCCAGGTGGGCCTCATTAGAATTCAGGTGCAAGGGGCCCCGCACGATTGGTTGGCTCGTCGATCCTCTGCCTCCCGTCAACGAGGGGGACAATCGCACGACG